ACATAAGAAAATATTATGATTACAATTACGGTTAAACACATCATAATAATAACAATAATCATCCTGCCTGCTGACAATCAAACTTTTCTATCTAGTTATCCTTGCCCACGTACACCCTGCTAAAATCTCATGACGATGACTAAGCGTTTAAACTAAACATCCTGTCTCCACTAAACATTTCTAATACAACAAGTATCTAACCAATTTCTCTCTGACTAAAAAATACCTAACAAGACAATAACCTGGTCCTCAACACCACCAAGACCAAAAGACTCATCACAGACTTCAGGAAGAGTAAAATAGACATCCAACACTTACTCTTCGGCGGGGACTGTGTGGAAACAGTTTCAGACTTTCGGCTTGTTGGTGTGCACATGGAGGAGAACCTGACCTGAAGTACTAATAAAGAAGGCACGTAGAGACTTTACTTCCTGAGGATCCTCAGAAAGAACCATCTGTCTGAAAAACTGCTTGTGTCCTTCTACCGTTGCTCCATAAAAAGTATTCTAATATACTGCATACAGGATGTCATCACCATGTTGTACCGGTACTTTTTACCATATGGACTCTGAGAGACGAGCCAGTCCAAGTAACTACAAAACAGTGCTGATTTATTCCATGAACACAGGTAAAAATTAAGATTACACGCTCAGGCATCTTCCACCTCCAAACTGCAGGCAGATGAAAGATGAAAGATCCCTGAACCCACCAGGCCTATACATTATATCTGGTTTGGGCTAACCCCATTCTACACAGGCACGTCAAACCGTGGTGTCACCTGATATGCCAGCTTTACAGCTGACCGTAGCAGTAGTCAAAACATGGAGAAAATCAATGTGTGTGAGTGTTGATTAAGTGGTGTGTATCTAAGAACATACAGGACATTCAGGGACATGTCCGGACATTAAGCCTAGGAAGATATTATGATTAAGATTACGTCTAAACATATCATATAGTAGCTACTTTCTATCTAGTTATCCTTGAACATAAACAACCTGGAGTAACTCATGGAAATGAGTAAGCATTTAGCAGCCTGAGCTAGACATCCTGTCTACACTAAACATTTCTAATACAACAAGTACCTAACCAATATCTATCTGACTAAAAAATACCTAACAACCACCAACAAGAAGATCATTGGATGCCCTCTCCCCTCCCTGGAACATCTACACAGTGTCTGCATTCTCACAAAAGCCAATAACATACAAACAATACAATACAAATAAATAAATATCTCCGGCTCAACACCAGTCAGAACTGATCAGTATTATTTGTATAGCGCCAAATCA